AAGCAACAATATAAAGGATCTCAAAATTGAACTATGGCCCTTATAAGCTTATCATCAACAATTAAAATAAGTAATGCAAGATCTCCTAACTTCTTTTAAAAGGTCTCCTTGGCAGTGACACCCTATTGGTTCCAAATGCTAATCAAATTGCTAAAATCATTTCGTTTAAAATTGAGATGGATTTCGCGAACAGAATAGTTACATAATTGGCTGGAAAATAATCACATTTTTTAAACTAAGCTGCCTTAAACTTCATTTTCAGGCATATAGGGAACTTTGATAAACTCTCCATGAATGTAATCAAGATTCTTTTTGTTAAAATTGTTTTGTGGCAATCACTCTTTATAATAAATCTAATGATACATGCATGGACAATAAAATAGAGAAAAAAAAGGGTTAGTTAACATAATATAATATATACAAGAAACAATATAAAAGTTTAGTATGTGAAGAATATATTTAAGGAATAATAAATTTACAAGAATAATAACAATTGTCCCATCATGTATCATTTTTAGGTTTTTTTAACAAAAGGGAAGACAGGGCTTTAACTTAGGTTTGAGTCTTTAGGTTTCATGTATATGCTGGGTTCAAAGACTTGATAATCTAAAGGCTCCTAAATTATTTCATACATCATCATCTATTATAAAAAAATAAAGCAGTCTAATCCTCACCCACCATTATAGGCTCAAATGAAAATGATTCAATTTGAGTGAAACTTTTCGCTAGCTCACATGGAAGTTATCACCTCACGAGAGTGTAGATACTTATACCTTCCTAATAAAGGAAAAAATTCGGGTTTTATAACTTAGGCATAAATGCAAGAGTGGTGCGTGTAAAAGGACATGCCAAATAATCAAATAAATTAATGCACATAAAAAATTAAAATATACAAAACAAGAAAATAAAAACAAATTAGGTTAGTAATATAAAAATAAAAAATAATTACATAATAAAACTATCAAAGAAAGGCTTAATATAACACATAACTAACCAATGGCTTGACTCTCTAATATCCTCGGTAGAGTCACCAAACTATCATAACATTAGGTTGGGAGAACCTACCCATTAGACATAAAAAATCATGGAGTCACCACCAATCCTTTTTACCTAAGTGTGATTGGTTACCTATGCGAATCTATCATTTTTAATATTATCTTAACTGTAAACTAAGTGTTTCTAAAAGAATATGTTCTGGTTTACATTAACAGAACTAAAGTTCAAGAGTCAGTTATATGCAGGAAAGATATTAGCACCCATTTATGCCTAAAATTGGTACCAAATTAATTATGTATTATCATACCTAAACCTTAACGAAAGATAATCTTTATCATGCAAATCAATTTCGATCTTTTTACACACCATGGTCATACATAAATTCTATAAAAAATATAAAATAATCATGCAATAAATATTAAAAATCATACCATGTAAAAATTATCATGCAAATATATTATAAATCATACCAAATATAATGTAATAATATCATCCCTAGATCATGCTAAAATATTCATACAAGAATGTCATGCAAATGTATTAATAATCATGCAATAATAATAATCATATAAATATATAATATCATGCAAATATATTAATTATCATACAAATATAATAATCATATAAATATATAATATCATTCATGCAAATATAATCATGCAATAATATAAAATACCATGCAAATATATTAGTAATTATGCAATTAAATATGATCATGCAATAATGCATGCAATAAATATAAAAACATGTAATTTGATATCATTCAAATAAAATATTAATCATGCAATAAAATATAATAACATATCATGCAATAAATATAAAATCATGTAATAATATTAATAAATAAACAACCATGCAAATAAATATATTAATAATCATACAATCACATAAATTAATAAATTAATAATCATGCAAATAGACATGTAATTAAATATATAATCATGTACTTAACAATGTAAAACATGTAATTAAATATATAATCAAGCAAATAATAATAATATAAATAATGCAAATAAACATGCAATTAAAGAAAAGGAAAATGTTGTGATTAGGTTGGATTTTTACCAAGTTGGAGCGTGGGTCGGTCGTAGGTTAACCGCGGGTCAAGGCTTGCTAAAACGACACCGTTTAGTGCTCAGACAAAAGCCAAAAAGTCTTCTATTTTCTTAGACCTGTCTTGCTTCTTCTCTCTCTAACCTTTAGTTGCTCTGCCTTTTCTCTAGAAAGTTCCACCAAAAAATCTAACTTTACCCAAGAATTGACCAACACCTACAATTTGGTGACAAAAAATTCAACTGGTCGCCAAAAGCTTCAAACAAATCCAGATTTTTCTAAAAATTAGCCAAGAACCTAGAATCCATTTGCAACCTTTTCTCTCCATCCGCCATAAATCTCGCCAAAAAACTCAAAATCCCACTAGAAAATTCAATTTATTCCCAAAAATTAAATTCCCAAAAATTCAAACAAAACTAAAACAAAAAAAAAAACCAAAAATTCTCAAATTCTAAAATTCAAACCAAGAACCAAAAATCAAAACACCAACTTTAGAAAGATTCTAACAATCCCAAAAATCTAACTTCAAAAATCTAACTTAAATTCCAAAAACTAGGAACAAAACCCAAACCCAGAAATTAAGACTTCCCCAAATCAGATTCCCAAAACCAAAATCTAACACAGAAAACTTAACCATAGAAACTCAAAACTAATAAAAACAAACCCAAAAAGCTTGACAAGTTTGCTTAATTGCTTATTGTTTCTACCTAATTGCTTGCTATATTGCTTGTTGTCTCTGTCTTGATTAATAAATTAAAAGGTTCTTATATAGGGACTAAATCTCTTTAAGTTTAAAAATTTTTAAGTTCTACAAAATGTAGAAGAACTAGTGAAATTTAGTATCTTATGTAATCTTTCCTTTTGCATGAAGATTGGGAATCAAAATTTCCAAAATTAATTCATGATCTAAGGTTGGATTCAATGACCCATTTTTTTTTCCCAAAACACCTCAATTTTTTTTTTTTAAATTTTTTGTAAGTAAAATTATTTAATTACCCTTTTTCTTTGAAACAAATTTTCAAAGATGGATTTATAAAAAGTCTTAAAGGCTTTTGGAAATCCATTTCCCAAAGTTTTAAAATGCACTAAAATATTTCAACACAAAATCTTATGAAACTAAACATGAAATCAAATAAAAAAATAGAAAGAACAAACAATTTGAAGTTTTTAAAGGTAAAAAAGCACTTAAAAATTCCATCCATTTAAAGTAAAAAAAAGTTTAAAATCACAAGTAAATCATTTGTTTTTTTTTTTACCTTTTCGTTTGATTTCGTATTTAATTTCGTAAGATTTCATATTGAAATGTTTTAGTGAGATTTAGAATTTTCAAAATATTTTAAAGGTTTCTAAAATAATAAAGGCTTTTGAAAATTCATTTCCAAAAATCTTCAAGACTTTTTGAAAATTTATTTCCAAAAAGTTGTTTAAAAAAAATAATTAAACAATTTCACTTAAAAAAATTCTTTTAAAAAAATAGAATGCGAAGAGAAAAGAGTGGGGTGCAACACTCCTAATGTTTTAGTTCTCACGTCGTCTATAACCACTAAATGAAATGCCCAAAATACCCTCACCCTCCACTTTTATTTCATTATTATTCTTAACTACTCCAGCGATAGCAAGCCAAAGGGCTTTGCGTTCCCTTCAAATGCCCAGTCGAGTTGAAAAACAACCGTAAGATTGCAATAAGAAGTTTCTCCATCTTTAGTTATCTGCTTGAGTTGGAAAAACATCAGCACTGATTAACTGCTCAATACCTTTAGCAGTTTGAGATGACTGCTTAATTCCTTTCCCTCCAAATATGATAGATGTGTGCTCCTCATGTGACCTGTAGCATAACAGCAGCAAAAGATAATTTGCCTCTAGAATGTGCAACGCAAAACTCGTCTTGCCGAATTCCGATTGTTCAAACAAAAAGAACTCTTTTTTTCTTACTTGTTTGTAATGCACCAGATTTTTAAGCAGTTGGGCTCATTGCAGAACTCAACTAATCTTTGTGCCTGTATAAGTGGCCAAAACCGTAATTCCTGCAAAGTGCTGAAAACTAAAGGGGGGACCATTAACCGGATTTCTCATGACATTATAATTGATGTCGTGAAGAAAATGACGACTCCTGTGACAGTGTTACATGTTAACCCCATGGGATGCTTATGTGGGCACTTGGAGTGACAATTCGTCGGTACCTGATTGTAGCCTTTGGTGTACGTCTACTGGAGTACCTGATACAGGGAATGAAATTTTTTTTATCTTTATCTTTTCATATATGAAAAATTTCTACTCAAACTCTGAACTTGCCGATCACCAAAGTCCAGCAGGCGGAAACAAACAGCCTCAATTTTACAACTTTCTGCAACATTAACAAGGATTGAATACGAACACTGTACGAACAAGCAATTCTGTTTTCCCAATAGGTCAATACAAAGTCCAATGTCTACTGTACATCAGGTTTTAACGAAGGAGTTAACCTTGTTGGTCAAACTCTTTGTATTTCATGATTTCCTTCTTCATCAGGCCACCACCTTTCCTTCAGATTCCATAATATATCTTAGCAGCTAGAAATATTTACTACAGCAGATTGAAATACCATAAAACGTACAAGGAATTCTGTTTTTACAGAAGAATGGCTTGCAGGTCTTTAACCTTTGTTTACCTTAGGCTTCATTTGGATTCTATCGCACGTGCGGTGAAATTCAAGTGGAATTTTGCCTCCAAGTGCACCGTGGGGTGCCTTTTAAGAAGTGTTTAAGAAGTGTTTTCCAATGCAAACAAACCCCATCAGTCCATCCTTTTGTAAACTTGGAATGAGAGTCAAGTCACTTAAAACTTCATATGAATTCTAATGCCAAAAAAAAAAAAAACAACTCTCATTACAAATAGGCTTCCAATGCTACCATTTTCTGCACCACAATTTAGTCATCAAATTCATATTATTCATATCCTCTGATAATATCACAATGGCCTCTCCGAACAACTTCAACTTCCCTTATTTCCCCCCACCACGACACCAGCCTTTCCAGCCACCTCCACCACCATACCATCCAGCTTCACCACCACCACCTCATGTGCACCCTCCTCCACCTCCGGATGTACATCCACCACCAGCACCCGTTATTCCTGCACCATCTTCAAGTAACCATACGGTTATAATCTTTGTGTTTGTCTCATGCGGTGGCCTCTTCCTCCTCGCATTCCTTGCAGTCGCTCTCTTTTGTTTCTTCAAGAAGACGAAGAAGAAAACAGTTCAAGAAAAAGATAATGTTCATGTTGATGAACATCTGAAAATGAAGGAGGCTATTGTCCCTGGTCCCCATGGACCGCGCGCTGTATTTCTGGAAATTGAGGATGATGTTCATATTGATGAAGAGATTGTAAAGACTGAGAGAATTAAACAAGGTTCGAATGTCCACTCTGCAGAGGAAAATCCAAAGGCACTTGAGGCAGGAGCAGCATCTTCTAGTTCAGATCATAACCACCAGCTGGAACAGAAGGCCTAGTCTTCTTCTGTTCATTATAACAATATATTCATTTAATATTTTAACAATTGACGAAACAAACATTATTACCAAAAGAAAATTGTGATGTAATAAAATGATCTTGCAAATGTTTATAATTGTCTAATTGTTTCAATTTTGTGCAATATATATACTTTACAATTGAAATTCACGACCAACCTCCACAGTTTAACAATTAAAAAAAAAATTTTGTTCTCCTTGTACCCACACATTTTGTCACCATTTCATTTTTTAAAAAAGATTTTTAAAATTTTGTTGAACTTTAAGTAACTATTTTTTACATTAAAGTTATAAAATGCATTTTTCATATTTTATTAATTGATAATAAATTTAAAATCATTTCAAGAGTTTAATAAAATTTAAAAAGTTGGATCAAAAAATCAAGTTGTAATATTATCACTCATAAAGCCTATGTAAGTAGATTGATATATTGCACCTAGATCTATAAAAGTATAAAAAGGATAAATTTTTACATATGAAAAAAAGTCTAAGGGACGAATTGAGATGTCTTTTATTCTAGTTTAAAATTATTTTAATAAAATTACAAATATAAGAAAAATTATCATCAAGTACTACATTCATATATAAATATTTATTAAATAATTAAAGAAACAATCTAATCAACAAAATGAGAACATAACTTAACAAATTTAATATAGAGTTGAAGCAAACCCACACAATATAATTTAAACCTAACCAATGTACTCTTAATTCAATAGTATTAAAATCGACTTCAAGCTTGAGGAGTATTGAGTATGAATCCTAATCGTAATTTAAAAAACAAAAAAAAAATTATGAACCTTTAATCAATATAAAGCAAAGTTTTAATAACTTTTGGTGGCAAGAACAAAATTTATGGGATTGTTTTGATGAAAAATGTCAATAATTTTGAATGGGAAATTGCTGGAGCTAACTATTTAAACAGGAATAGGTTACATCAAGTAAGTTTAATTTTAAATTTTAATGATTAAAGTTCAAATTTTAATAATTTTAATTAAAAAATAAAATAATTATATTGTGTAGATAAATATATATCAAATAATTGAGATATGTAAGCAATAGTAGAGTAGATTTAATCAAATGCTCAAATTAATGTGTTATAACTAATTAATCAAAGAAAAATGCTAAATCCAGTCACTCTTTTTGTCCCAACATTATTCAGAGAAGAAAAAGAAACAATGAAGAAAAATAAAATTGTTCTTTTATAAAGTCACCTGTCATTCTCTATATCATATGTGGCATTGGATGTTGAATACGAAAAAAAGGGGTACAAAAAGCAGCTCCCTTTAAGCCTAATAGAATTGTTATTTGCTTCTTAAATAGAAGGAAATGGATTCTCAATTAAAACTTCGAAGGCTGTCGTTCCTTTTTGCTTCCTCAATTGTCTTGTTGTAACTCTTGCAGGGTACCCCTTCTTTTTTGCTGACAACTTATACAACTATAATGTAATAAATCTAGATTTCAGTTGTTTGTTTGATTTTTTTTTATATTGAGATGAGCATTTGAATTTAAATTTTTTAAGAAAAGCAAAGTATTTGTTCTTCTTCTTTTGGTCTAATGGTTAAGAAGGCTTTATAAAAATGTAAAAATTATAATTTCGAATCAAAACCTCCTTCCTTTCTTCCTCGTAAGGGCTATGCCCTTTCTAAAAAAAAAAAAAAAAGAGTATTTAGCATTAATTATTGAGCTAATTGTTCCAATATATATATTTTTTACTATTATTTTCTTGTTTTTAAAATAAAAGTGGGTATTTGAATATAAAAGTAAATCAATATTTTGATTAATTATATTTCATGATTTTAAAATTTTAATATGACCTAATTAATTAACATTGAAAAAATTAGAATAGTGCAACCAAATTTAGAAGGGTCAAGCTAACTCCAATAAAATCTCAGCCGCCCTCTACTCCTTTAACCACAAAATTAGGAAAAATCTCTTAAATCTTATTAGTGGTAGAGGGTGCAATTTTGATGAAGTTTTTTAAATATAGTTTTTGAGTTTTTTTTATTAAAAATGATATAATAAAATTTTTTATATAAAATTAAATTGATAAAATTTAACTATAAAATTAATAATACATAAAAATTATTGAAAATTGATTGTGAATGTCAATGGATTGGTTATGGAGTGGATAGAATTTTTTTTTATTTTCATCTCAAATTTTTATATTATACTTATTTCATACCCATACTGAACAAATATTTTAAATTTATTTACATCCTCATCTTTGCAGGTATTTAATAAGTATTGGTAATCTCCATACCTATATTTTTTTAAAAAAATAAAAATAAACATAAAAATATATTTTTTATTTTTATTTTTTACATTTAAGTAATTTTTTATAGATATATATTAATATATATTTTTCAATAAAAAATATATATTAATATATATTTTTGAATAAAAATATATTAATTTAATTAATCAAAAATAATAATTTATATTATTTAATAAAAAATCTATTTGCTAAATATATATAAGATATGGATATGGGGTGGATGCTATATTACTTGCTATATTACCTATCTCTATCTCTATACCTAATAAAAATTTAAAGTTAGAGCCATATCTATTCTTATATGCATAATGTAATATCAATTTTTATCTCAATTCGGATAAAAAATCAAGTTTTTCAATGAGTTTGGATAAAATTAACATTTTTAAATTTGACCAATCTTTATCTAATGATTAAATTTTGTTAAAGTTTTTAATAAAAATAACTATGATAAAAATAAATGGGCTAAATTATAAAATGGCACTTGAACTATATTTTTTCTATTAGTTTGTTACTTAAATAAATACAATTGTTAGATTAGTACTTAAATTTTCATTTCGTTACCATGAGAGTACCTCAGAGTGACGCTATTAGCTAATTTTGCTAATATGACATGAACATCTAATAAGATACTAACATATGTGAAGAAAAAAATCCAATTAACATCATATTATCAATGTCACATCATTATTAAAAGAAAATTTCAAAAAAAAAATCTAAAAGATTTTTAAAAAATTCTAAAAATTTTAAAAAATTCTAAAAATTTTCTAAAAAATTTAAAAATTCTAAAAACTTTTTAAAAATTCAAAAATAATTTTAGAAATTTTTTTGAAAATTAAAAAAAATTTAAAAAACTTGAAAAAATCCTAAAAAATTTTAAAATTTTTTAACAATTTTGTAAAAATCTAAAAATAATTAAAAATTCTAAAATAATTTAAAGAAACTTAAAATTTTTCAATAAATCTAAAAATTTTTAGAAAATCCAAAAAAATTTAAAAAAATTCAAAAGTTTAAAAAGAATGAAGATTTTAATAAAAATAAAAGTCTCTTAAAATTCAAAAAATTCACAAAAACATATAAATAGTTAAAATAAAAAATATATAATTTTTTTGAAAAGATATAAAAATTTTTAAAAAATTGTAAAAAAGTTTTAAAAATTCTAAAAATTTTTCATATTTTTTGAATCTAACAATTTAAATTTTTTACATATTTTTTCAATTTATAATTTTTAAAAATTTTTTTGGATTATTATTAAAATATCAAGTTATGTTATTTTCTATTTTTAAAATTTTTTTAATTTTTTAGAATTTTTAGATTTTTGAAAGTATTTTTTTAAGATAATTTTTAGAAATTTTCATAAAATTTTAAAATTTTTTATATTTTTTAAAATTTAAAAAAATTTTAGGTTTTTTTAGTTTTCATTTTTTTATGTTTTTGAGATATTTTTAAACATTTAGAAAATCTAATTTTTATTAAAAATTTTTATTTTTAAAATTTTTTTATATTTATTAAATTTTTTAGAATTTTTAAAATTTTGAAAATTATCCTAATTTTTATAATTTATAAAAATATTTCACATTTTTTATAAATATAAATTTTTTTTTAAATTAGAATATTTCAAAATTGTTATAATTTTTTAGAATTTTTTTGGAATCTCTTAGAATTTTGAAAAAATTCAAAATGTTTTTGAGATTTGTTTTTAATTTAAAAAGTTTGTTAAAAATTTTAAAAACATTTTAGAATATTTTATGATTTTTTAAAAAAATGTTTAGATTTGTTTTGAATTTTTTAAAAATTTTAAGAAAAATTTAAAATTTTTTTAGTATTTATAAAAAAATTTTAAAAATTTTTTAAAAACAATTTTAGTTTTTTTTTTAGAATTTTTTTTAGGAAATTTAAAATTTTTAAAAATTTTAAATTTTTTTAAAAATTTATTTTTATATTGATATGACATTGATGATGTGATGTTGTTTAAATTTATATATATCAATATTTTATTAAATATTCATGTTACATTAATAAAATTAACTAACACCATTAATATAAGATACTAACTTGATAATGAAATAAAATTTCAAGTGGTAATCTAATAATTTTATTTTTAAAATAATAAACTAATATATATATATATAAATATAATTCAAGGACATTTTTCTATTTAACCCAAAAAAAATTTAGTTATTAGTAATAATAATTTAAAATAAAAATGTGCTGTCAATTAGCATTGTAAAATAGGCCGACCAGCTAGGTTTGGTTTTTAAAGCCCACAGAATCAGTCATGTCCTTCGCTTCCTTAACCCAAAACCACTGCACCCCTTGTTTTCCAATTCTACACCTCCACTTTCCACCTTTTGCACGAGTCTTTCGATTTCTAAATTACCATGATACCCTTCTCTCTATTCTTTTTTTTTTTTAATTACATTTGTTCTTTTTCCTTCTCAACATCAACTCAAGTAGTTTTAACATTTTTTTGCGCCAAAAGAAAATAAAATACAGAAGCGTCATATCTCTTTTTCTGAGAATTATAACATGCAACTACATTATTCAGTTCAAAATTTTAAACTGGAAATTAATCTAAAGATTTTTAAAGGTGTTGGTTTTAAAAAAAAAATTAAAGATTTTAATATAAAAATTAATAATATATTATCGATGTATAAATTTAATACACTATCAATAAATTATATGATATCACTCATTAATAACAAAATTTTAAAAAATCAAATTTTGTTATATTTATTTTAAGATCATGTAAAAATTTATGTCTATTTATTAATAAATGATTTTATATTTATAAAATTTATACATAGATAATATATCAAATATAAATTTAAAAAATTAAATAGCAAATATAATTAACCAAAAATAAGTTTTTCTTTCATAATTTTAAAATGAAAAAAATATAAAAGTTCAAAATCTTTCTTCTCAAGTAATTAACAACTACAAATTTCATATGAAAAAGAATAGAAAGAAAAAGATGTACATTTGGTCATCTACTCGTTATATAAAACCAGCTCCACAAGTTAAGAAAAGAAAAGAAAAACTAACTAAAAACACTGCAAAGTTGCTAAATCTACTTTAATATAACCCAATTCCTCAAGTTAAGAAAAGGGGAAAAAGAAAAACAAATTTCAACAAGTTGCTAAAATAAAATCCTAAATGGCACCATTGTAATTACAGAAAAGGACTGGGCCAAATATTTACTCCTTGCACCTATATAGTACAGTATTGGTCGCAAATGTTTACCGGCAAATTCCTGAGATACTAAACTACACTGCCACCATGCAATCCAGACACTGCCTTTCTACCAAAAATCTCTCATGGACCCCACGTGTCCACATCTCCTGCCTCCGTCCACCAATCTCCACAGTCAGATTCTCCACAATCTCGGCCGTGGCAGCAGCCCCTCCAAGATCTCACAAAACCCACTCAATGCCACCCGAAAAGCAAGAAGTGTTCAAGTCACTGGAAAACTGGGCTACCAAAGATGTCCTACCACTACTAAAACCAGTCAAAGAGTGCTGGCAACCCCAGAGTTTTTTGCCAGACCCGGCTTTGCCAGTGGAAGAGTTCAATGACCAAGTGAAGGCCCTGAGACAACGCACGGCGGAGCTGCCTGATGAGTATTTCGTGGTGCTGGTGGGGGATATGATTACGGAGGAAGCATTACCAACGTACCAGACCATGATCAATACGCTGGATGGTGTGAGGGATGAGACTGGGGCTAGCTTGAGCCCTTGGGCTGTTTGGACCCGGGCTTGGACTGCTGAGGAGAACAGGCATGGGGATTTGTTAAAGACTTACTTGTATTTATCTGGGAGGGTTGATATGCTTATGATTGAGAAGACTCTGCAGTATCTGATTGGAGCTGGAATGGTAAGTTTTTCAGTCACATTGATTGCTATTTTATGGGTTGAATTGGGAGAAAAGATGAAGTATTGTAGTTGAAGTTGATAAAATTTTTTCTTAAAAATGATTGGATAAAAAGTTAAATAAAAATTTCAAATAGATGGATGGATAGAATTTAATGAAAAGTGTTCAATGAAAAAACTAATGATATGTAAACATTTATTGAAAATATCATTTATAATCTAAATTTGATTAATACTTATTAAATAATTAAAATTTTTTAATTGAAATTGAAATTGCTTTTTAAAATTATACATTTGATTTATATAATAAAATTTTTTAATTTATTGATATTTTTTATTTTATTTTAATTTAGTTTGTAATACAAATTTTATAAACTTCATCCAAGTCTTTTCGTTGAAGAGTAAATGCTTGCTAATTGGTCATTGCAATTTCAAAATATTTAACCTATATAATCTTGAGTTTTGACTCCAAAAATCCATCTCAAGACATCACAATTTTGTACTCAAATTTTCTTTTTTCCTCGTGAAATTAAAAAGAAAAAAACGAAACTAAAAGAATCAAGGGGCACGTGCTTGATAAATTGCAAGTGAAAAATGTCACGTGACACCTGGTCATTAGATCCTTTTGTCCTGTGTTGGTTTTTGACAGGATCCTGGAACCGAAAACAACCCATACTTGGGATTCGTGTACACCTCTTTCCAAGAGCGAGCCACGTTCGTATCCCACGGCAACACAGCTCGTTTAGCCAAGAAAGGCGGTGACCCAGTCCTCGCACGCATATGCGGCACCATCGCAGCGGACGAGAAACGCCACGAGCTCGCCTACTGTAAGATCGTCGAAAAGCTACTCCAAGTAGATCCAACGGGAGCAATGCTAGCAATCTCTGATATGATGAAGAAAAAGATAACAATGCCAGCTCACTTGATGTTCGACGGCGAGGACCCACAGCTGTTTGAGCACTTTTCAGCTGTGACACAGCGGATTGGAGTGTATACGGCCGATGATTATGCTGATATTTTGGAAGCTTTGATTCAACGGTGGAGATTGGAGAAGTTGGAAGGGTTGACGGGTGAAGGGAGGCAAGCACAGGATTTTGTGTGTGGGTTAGCGCCTAGGATTAGGAAGTTACAAGAACGAGCTGAGGAGAAGGCTAAAAAGATGGAGCCTCAGGGAGTGAAGTTTAGTTGGATTTTCAATAGGGAGATTCCGTTGTAGAAAAATGAGTGAGGCGGGTGTGCTTTTGTTCTTGGTCAACTACTCTGTTTTTTCTGTTGCATTTCCCAATTCCCATCTTCTTTCTAATACTTGTCAACTAGCTGTTTTTGTTGGGTAACCAACCTTGAATTTTAAAAAGACAAATATTGGAATTTGAAAGGGAAATTAATGGGTTACAGGAAATAATAAAATGGAAAAAAAAAAAAAAGGTTATATACAGAATTGGTTGTATACCCATATCAACTTCTAAGAGTATTCCAGTCATGTAATACTTATTTTAACTATCATATTGATCTACCAAGGAAACAACAACAATGACTGCAACAATTTTTTCAATAATTTTTAAAATTTAAAATTCAAAATTTTTTAATTTCGGATTGAGTGTTCGATTATGAAATTGAATTTTAAATTTTAATAATTAAATAATTTTAAATATATAAAAGAAAGTTTTCATTTTTTTCTCTTAAAGTTTGGGTAGCATTTAATTGCATTAATTACATTAACTAAAAAAAAAAGAGAGATTTTGCAAAGAAATTATTGCTATCTATTCTTATCAACAGTAACAGGATATTTTGCTATCTATTCTAGGTGAAAATGATTCGATGACCTAGTTTCCTGTGAGTCGTTGGGTTTCAGAATCCTTTTGCCTTGAGCTCGAGACTCCAGAGAGTTAAAGAAAACCTCGTCTCAGAATTGGAAGATATGTTCAATTAAACTCTAATTTCTTCGATAAAGCAGGATTGAAACCGTACAATATGCAAGTTCAAGGGTGTGTTTTTTTTATATTGGAGGTAAGTATTGGGGTTACTTGAATTCTAAGTCTTACAATATATCACAACTTCTATTTTAACCATTTAGCTAATAGGTTTGTTGGCTGGAGAGTGTGTTAATTATGCTTATTCTCTTGTCTATCCAATTGTACTGCCATTGCCATATATTAAGAAACATATTTCACGTAATATTTGTAATGTATACAATTTTCTAGGTGATGATCATTATAAATTTATCCGTATTAAAGTTGAATAAAATAACAGAATCCACTGAAGTTTGGAAAAAGAATTTCATAACCGCAAACCATGTTATTACAACTTATTTTTTCGCTCACCACAAGAGTTTTATACATGTCGAATTTATTTCCATAAATATATTAAAAATCTATGTACTGAGTAAAAGACAATTGAGTATAGTGTTTTTTTTTTTTTTTTAAATCTTGGTATCAGTTGGAGCTACTAGAATGTGATTGGCCCTCAAATAGCATATCTTGAAGTTATCACAATGGTTTGAGAAAGTTGTACCTTTTTATCTTCTCTTATCAATATAATTATTTTCTTGCCTTTACAAAAAAAAAAAAAAAAATCTTTGAATTTGAAACAAGCGACAAAAAAAAATCACGTTTTTTTTTTTTTTTTCATAAGAAGATAAAATCCTTAGAAGGAAAAGAGAAATGGCTCAGCTAGAACCCATGCTCATGTGCTTTTCTCAAAGCCTCTTAATCATTGAACTAAAAACTGACGGGCAATATGTTATATTTTCTTTACAATAAATATCAAGGACTAAGCAAGAAAATGAGAATTAAGCCGTAACTATGGGAATGGATAATATTATTTAGGGTCAATGATAATATTATTTGAACTTGTTTATTCGCTCAATCCCGATCTGCACATATATAAAAGTCTAAGATGAAAGTGCCCATTCATCCATGGAGCAGTTCCCTAAGTATCCATACGAATCATGCATCTCAGACACTCGCCCCGGTGCATGTACTCAAATGCCTTGTTGATCTCGGAGAAAGGGACAGAGTGAGTGATGAACTTATCCAGTTCAAGCTCCTGCTACATTAACAAATGACAAGGTTACTTTTCATTGGTATTGGCATAGAGGCGAAAAGAGGTAGATGTGCCTCAACTAAGAAAATGTATTAGAATGCACTAGGCCGATATGGAGAAATACGTCCTTAAAATCGGTCGAGGAGGGAATTAGGTCCAACCCCTGACCGCCTTAAAAAAAATATGTACTAGAAAAAATTGTTTAAACGGGAATCTATAAACTCAACTTTTCATATATTTCTCGACAACGGCTGGAATATCAGACCGAAGTTTGTAGTTGCCAAAGAAAGTACTTTTGATTGTCCTCTCATTCAGTAGATTCACTGGATGAGTTTTGAATGCGTCATCTTTGTTTGGCACACCAACAAGAACAGCAACTCCCCAACCCTGAAAGTAAGGGATTTCAGCTAAAACACATTAATGTAAACAGATATAATCTCTATCTATGAAGAAAGGTTGTGAAAGCTAATTACATCATGGACGCATTCAAATGCAGAAATCATGGCATGGATGCTGCCTGTACATTCAACACTGCGATCAACTTCTCCGCCAGTCATCTCAGCAATCACCTAAAGCAATATATATGTTAATCTCTCGGAACAATAAGTCATTAGTAGCAGTACGTTTCTAGTATCAATACTTCCATCATAATCAACTAACTGATTGCCACAAGGATGTCCTTCACAAACCAGGTACTATTCAAGTACGCCATTATTGGCCAAAAAATAAACAAGTGCATATTTAATGTACAGCTTTAATGTAAGGTGATCCCAGTAATTCTATGGTCATGCCAGAATCCTAGATGATTTTTCGAGCTTTAGGATCAGGATTCGGGAATGTTAACCATCTTTGACACCATTTTGAAACTAAAAGAACAGGACTCGGAAGAAAAAATTTTCAACAAGGAACCAACCTCTTGAACAGGTTGTTGTGATCTTTTGGATTCACAAACTCTGTAACACCAAACTTCTTTGCTGCCAGCAGGAATAAGAAGAAAGATGATCAATTTATAACTTTGCTTATCTTGGAATATAATAAATCTTTGATTGTATTTATGTAAATAACTACAGTAATACCACCTTCTTCAAATCTGCTGACGTTCAAATCAACACCAATGATCCTAGAAGCCCCAGAAACTCTTGCTCCTTCAGCAGCCTAAAGTTGAGAAAAGAGAATAAGGATAAATGATCATTCCAACACTTTTTTTGTTCTAAGAGGAAAAAACATAAAAGCAAGGCCAACAACAAGAAAAACTCACAGCAAGCCAACAGCACCCAGTCCAAAAACTGCAACAGACTGACACTTTTGTGTTAGCAACATTCACAGCGGACCAAAACCTACAAGTACAGAAGCAAATAAGTTGTAAAACAACAAATGCCTCGTTTTCATTAAAATCATTTATGTATCCGGAAAAAAGAAAAGAAAAAGGAGGCTTCTCCCTATGTCCCAAACCTGTGGATATTCCGCAGCTTAGAACACACACTTTATCAAGTGGAGCATCTGGATTAATCTTGGCAACTTGTCCGACATGGACAACAGTGTATTCGCTAAAAGTTGAGGTGCCAAGAAAGTGGTAGATAGGCTTCCCATTGATGGAAAACCTAGAGTTTCCATCATGAATCATTGCACCCCTATCAGTGTTGATTCTGAGGAGATCACACATGTTGCTTTCTTCTGATAAGCAGTGGGGACACTCCTTGCATTATCCAGTAAAGATGGGGAGAACATGATCACCTGGTTGGAGATCAGTCACACCCTCACCTACACTCTCAACAATCCTAAAGACCATCAAGTTCAATGAAACTGGTTATTGGTTAATAGATGAGAATTTGGTCAATTAATAGCAAAAAAAAAAAAAAAAGTATAAGACTGTTATTTCTGAAACTAATAGGACACCTAATCCAGTTAATGTAAATTCTGAGAATTAACTATTATACATCTCAGTTGAACTGTTTTAATTCAATTTCAAGGTTATATCTATCTAGCATTAGGAAACTCTCGTAAGCAATTAGACATGTACATACCCTCCAGCTTCATGACCCAGAATGCGCGGAAAAAGAGGATTTTGTCCCTGCAAAAAGAGAAAATTATATATTGTCAATGATATGTGAGGGAATGGAATCAGAGATGAAGGAATCAAAAGAGGCATCATAGTCTGAGATGAAGTAATCAAGAGATGCACTTATATAATCAGGAAGCGTCATACTCTTTGCAAAATTCATCACCGGTCAAAGCCAAATGTAGAGGATAAGAAATTTGGCTAAAAATAGACTAAAGCCCAACATCAATACAATGCCAATATTTTCGAAATAATCAAGAATGTTACAGATTGTTAACAGATCATTCAATACCATATATAGTGCTTTGTGAAAAATTTTCTGATTGAAATTCTTTTTCCTAACAAAAGCTAGGTTATTTTATTTCTTCACCAAGTATGTATAATAGAACCAGCAATCACCAAAAACAAGTTGAAGAGTAACCTTAGCATCCCAGAAGTAGACATCAGTGTGACATAAAGAAGCGAAGTGTATCTTAATACGGACTTCATTCTTCTGGGGTGGTGCCACTTCCACTTCTTCTATTGTCAGTGGCTTCCCTGACTCCCATGCCACGGCAGCAGCAAATTCACTACTACTGAATTAGCAACCAATTAATCAAGAAGTAAATAGAAGAAGTGCCTAAGATTCAAAGAAGAATTCTAACCAAGTAAATTGGTAAAAAATAAAGCTCAATAAAAAATAAGCCATTAATATTTCAAAACATTGCAACAAACAGCTTGGAATTAAATAATAAGCCATCAATATTTCAAAACACAAAATGCCAAAAGACAGAATGATCTCAAAAGTAAAAGCAAAAGAAGTTTTAGCAATAAAACCTGAGCATCAAAACCTCAAAACCAATAAAAACAAATGCAAAACCAAAACCCAACAGAGGACAGTGATCATATAAATAGAAACAATTGTATAAGTATGTGCAGACGGACAGTTCAGCTTTGCAACGGATGACCTGACCAGCAGTACTCATGGCCGTTTAATTTTACAATTGCCACAAAACAAACGACTTTTCTTTTATCTGATCACTTTTTTTTTCTCTAGTTTAGTTGTTTTATTGCGACTTGAAGCAACTAGGTTCTACATATAGTAAAAAAAAAAAAAAAAAGCTGTTGTAGAACCCATTTGAGTTCATTAGATTTGACAAACTGTTTAAAGATTTGTCAGTTTTTCTTTTTTTTTTTTTTGATAAATAATTTGTCAGTGTTTTAAGGCGATTCTGTGTGTGGTTTTGGTTTAGTCCGCTGCGTTTGAAACATAATTGGCGTAACCATGGGGGCCTCTAGAAACAGTCACGTAGCCTTAGTTTAATAGTTTATGATTGTTTCGGATTTTTC